GTTAAAATTGCATTTTACTTCATAATTGCAACTGCATGTGTTGTATTCATTGTTGCAAAACTTGTTCTGTAGTTATACAGAACTGTAAATAGTTCGTTTGTTATCGTGATCAAAACCATTGATCTGATTGCACGCTTAAAATAACATACCGGTTAAAGCCACGCCCATTCCTAATACAGATACAAATATAGATGCTGTACTCGCTCATCCCTAGAAACCAGTCTTTGTTTCCCTTTCTGTTTCATCGGAGGCGTCACTCACCATGGTACATTTGCAAAAAACATTTCTCTACTCGCTGATCTTGCACAACTTGATGTTTCTTTTGACCTCAAACATTATGTCCCAATAAGCCACACTCTCTGCATTGCTCTCTATTCTTCTCTCCAGAACCTGCTCCATTCTCCCAGGCCATGTACTTTCCTCCAACTCCCTAGACCTGCCATCCTCCACTTGTCCACATGTCCTCAGACTTTCCCTCCATTCCTTACCCCCTAAATGCACACACACCTATTCTCATCAGTCCTGCTGCCACCTGAGCTTTTCCATCCATCTTAGGAGTGATTGAAGAAACTTATCTTCTTGCTTAAAGGACCGGTGTGTAGGATTTAGTGGCATCTAGGGGTGAAGCTGCACATTGCAAGTAACTAGACACTGCTCACATCAGTATTTGACAACCTGGGAATGAGAATGGGCTGTGAAGTGTGCAGGAGAAACTATGGTGGCAAGGAAACTTGCAAAAAATTGCTAAAGATACTATCTTCTCCAGAACTCAGTGTTAACTGTGTTAGAGTGACTCTCAAATAGGGATAAAGGGACATTGCCTATTTGACGTTTCACTCGTTTAAGCCTTAACATATTGGTGTATGTGAGTGTTAGTGAGTCCATTTATAGGTGCTGAATAAACTCTACAGGAAGACAAGATCATAACACCATCACCAGCACAAGACCCTGTCTACAGTGTTTGGTTTGTCTGTTCTGGGCTTCAACATGGTGGTTCAACATGGTGGTAAACGGTTTCTTCTAAGGTAACAAAAACACAATGATTCCTATATTCAGGTGATTATACACTAATAAAAACATAAGTATGAATATTACATTCCATTTATGTCATGGACACTTTCCATGGTTCTGAAACAGAGCGGAGGAGATTGATAGACAGACAGACAAAGCACGCCACTTAGTTCGGTTTCTTAGCCTGCCTGCTTTTTGTGGCTGTAAATATGACTTTGGTCCCTAATTCCATTTCACCTCGGGAGAGAGAGAAAGAGAGAGAGAGAAAGAGAGACAACTGTAAGCCGCAAAAATATGTTTCTATGCCTGATATTATGCAAAGTATGTGCATGTGAAAAGAAATGTCTCATTGCTCATTGTGTTATTTTTTAACTTTGCATTTATTTACATACTCAGAGATCAGATAATAATGTTGATCTGAACTAAGTTTAACATACATTTATTATTAAGATTAAATTCAAGAACCTTAATGGAAAAAAATAAAATAGCTATAACCTGTGACTCAAAAATGAAAAACATTTTCTCCCAATGTCTCAAAGTAGACTTTCAGGAGAGCACTTTCCTACTACCTACCAACTCGCCAGACCTGTCGTCCAGTTGTCACATGACGAACTGTCATTCACACCCTGCTTAGGAACTTTATCAAGGGCTTATTTGCTTTGTGAACAACTTTCATCTTTACCAGGATCTAGTCTTAAATACTTAGAAAATGTCATAATTCTAAAACGTTTCTTAAAGTTTCAACACTAGGAGAAACTCCTTGTACTAAGAAGCTTTATTATTACAACCCCAAAACTTTATTTTGTTGATAAATCATTAAACTGATCTGAACTGACACACCAGTTGTGACACATTAAGGCCTTATAATTAGAGCAGTAAAAATCTGAAACAATCATGTGATCTGCTAGTGGTGTTGGGGGTTGAGTTAGGCTCGTTAGTCTCACTGGAATGAGGTTTCACCAAAAGTTACTTCACAGATGTTCATGGACACAAAATAAAGACATAAAATGGTTGGACATTTTAAAGAAGTATTTTCCCTTAAAACATGCGATAAGAGTGCCAAAGTCATGTATGATTTTTACAAAGCAGAATAATGTTTTAATAGCTTACCCTTGCTGTGTGCTTGGCTGAGCATATTTCAGTCTGGAAAAGAAGAAATCAAATTTAACTTTATCAATTAAAAGAGGAAATACAGGGTAAATACAGTACAAAGAGATACAGAAAACACATATAGTAAAACATTATATAAAATAAAGGCAGACAACAATAACGTCAATCGATAAAAAGAAACTATTCCGACCTATTGTCTATCCCAGCATGCATTATTCAATGCATGCTTATTTATTGGTTATGTTGTTTAATCCCAGCATGCATTATTCAACAGGATACACCTGGGCAGCGTGGTACGTGCAAGAAGGACATTTTTTTTCTGAAACAAAAGTGCTAACCTTGATAATATGCAGATATCTGTGGGAGGCTTTTTGCCTTCAATCAATAGTTCAGCTCAAGGTAGACCGGGAAAGAGAGAGGGGATGACACGCAGCAAAAGGTCCACAGGTCAGACTTTAACCCATGGCCCTAGCAGCAAAGACTCAGCCTTGGTACATGGTAGGCCAGGTGAGTTACCAGGGAACCCAATGGACAAAACAATTTAGTTTTGTGGTAATATCCAGGGAATTAGGTATTTGGCAGTTAATGCAGCAGATGTGCAATATGTTTTCACAGAGTAACAACAAAAACAAGCAAGGCCGGAAAATGCTTCTCCTTTTTCATTTTCTTGTCATATTCTTGTCATATATTGTATTATATTGTCGAGTGTAGATTGTTTATTAACAGGGCATGGGTGTAAACCAGAGTTATGGGAAGTTTTATATGAGCTAGCTGTTCCTCTTTGTAAGTCAAAAGTAAAGTGGATACTCACCCATTTTGCATTTTTAGTTCTGTGATCTTCCAGCGGTTGTTCGGGCACACTTTTATCTCTGCAACCTTCAGTGCATCTGTTAAATCGTTCACCTCTGGCTCAGGGTTAGCATCACATGGTTGGCACAAGCTTAAAAGGAAACGCAGTATTTATTAATAATATGACAATGTTTAACTCATAAAATGGATGATGAAATAAAAAAAAGCTGTATGGTTTAATAAAATTCCTCCCATCTATATTTCTGGGTGGTGACTGCAGCCACTTGAGTCTGAGTTTTAATTTTAATAGTTTTACATGAACCCAGCCAGTGACTATAGCGACTGTGACTAATGTTTGTTTTGTCAAATTCTATTTATAACCTTCCTTAAGTTGACATTTCTTTTTTACTGAGCAGTTATTAATGCTCTGTTATAACCCATGCATTTGAATTGATACATTCTCTCTGTCCTACAGAAATCTTACCTGAAGTATGGGACATCATGTACTGAGTAGATATAGACGGCCCTGTGAAGACACACAAGTACAAGTTAACAACCTGTAAAACTAATACAGTGGTAGTTACAGGCTTTCTATATCGGAGTGTACTGATTGGTAATTAAACATGTTTTTCGTTGCTTTTGTAGTGTACAATGGATTGATATTAGCATATTTATGTGGTGTTATGACAATAGAAAAAATATATATTTGGTAAAATGCTTTGATGTGTATTTACAATACATATTTGTGTTAAGTAAATGCTTCTTTATGTAGAAAGGTAACCTGTTAGAGGAGCAGTTTTCTGGAGCCCCAAAACTGATTAAATGCGTGGTTCAAGGTTATCAGTCAAAATCGTGTGAATACATGCATAAATAATTATATAGTATATAGTTAAATAATAAAAAGTGCAATAAAAAGCTTTATACTCAGGGGATTAAAAAACTCAAAAACTAATCACCTATTTATCTTTTAGTAACTCATGTTTTATTTCAACTGTTTAATTTTCCTATTTCCCATAATTCATTTATATTATTGCTGAACTGTCAGTAATCAGTGACCTGTCTGATAATGTTTTACTGTCTTTTGTCAATTTAAGGGCTCCATATAGACTGCCAAATTACATACAAATACACAAAATTGAAATAGATATAGAACCACAGGGATGCAGATCAAATAATGCAGTTAGTTACTAGTGGGTTAGCCAAATTTAATTCAGTTCACTCATCATTGTCCCTGAGATGAAATTGGGTCTCTAGCCAGGCGACTAAACTAAATAACTGTAACAGTAAACTAAACAATAGCAAAATACTGATGATAATTGAATAATCATCAATAACATTAACTGTGCATCTTGAAAATCCCTTAATTTTCACCCCAGTGCCTCTTCATACCCAAGGCCTGACCAGAGATGGCTGCCATTTTGGATGCCATTAAGTCACCGAACTACAAAATGGTTGATTCGATCATTGGCACAAACTGTCACCACATTTTATCTCAATGCAAAACAAGTCATGTGGGTTTTTTTTCATAGCCACCTTGTGTTTTTTCTTCTATAATACGCCACACAACGGCCTGATTGTAATCTTGTAAATGAGCAGGTTAACACATTCCCCTTTGTGATCTGAACAAACCCAGCATCATTTTTTTATGTGCATGAGGAAAGACTGCTCTGGTGTGTTAAATGTGAGCGACAATCCACACCCATGTAAAATAATACATACAAATAAATCTAAAAAACAAAGTAAGCTCAATAAAACACAGTGTTTTCCAGTTTGGAACAAGTTAAGCAATTCAACTGAAGATGAATCACATTCAACCACCATCACAGCTAATTTTCCACTAATTCTATAGGATCTCAACCAGCTCTATTTACCTCAAAATAGGTTACTACACTTTGTTCATGCTGTTTTGGTACTATTATAACATGGTTCCAAAAGACGTTAACTACACTCCTGTTTGCCAGTGTTAATGAGGCCATGTTACTGGCTTTTTTCGACTTCTTTGGAATAAACACGCCAAAAGCATACACATATAAAACATTATGTGGTTAAACATTGCTTAAATTTGCCTGTGCCAAACTACTTACTTTTTACGTGGGATATTCATTTACAGAGCTACTGCAGAACATTTACAAAATCTGTTTCCTCATGCATTTAGTCAAAGGATTAAATGTAAAGTGTACAGATAAACTGATACTGATGTGATATTGATATAATGTAAACATGTTTTCAGCCTGTGCAAGGTGTGCATACATACATAATCCTGTAATAATTATTAATAATAATTCAATTATTTCATTACTTTACTTGCTTGATGTGTACCATAATAGATAAATAACTGTAACCACCATCAAACATTGGGTATATCCGGTAAAAGAACTTCTTCATTCAAGTTTTATTTTAAAAAGAAAGAAAGAAAAGTACTCAGTTTATCTGAAGGACATTTAGGCTGTCTCTGTGCAAAGCTAACTACACCTTCAAATAGGGTGGGACCTGCTTTGAAAATGCAAGGAGTAGAAAAGTACAGATATTTGTGTAAAAATGTGTGTGATAATGATAAAAAGTTATGAGAAAAATATATAAAGCCTGGAAAAACTATTTAAGTACAGTAATGAAGTATTTGTACTTTGTTAATTCCCACCTCAGATCAAATTCTGCTTCGGTCCCCATAAAGGTTCGGACCGGCCCTGACTTCCACTACTACATTTCTAACATATTTGGGATGCTCAACATTTCATGTGGTAGATAACTAAACTAAAATCTTATGATGGTAATTTTTATATTAAAGCCTTAATGATAAATCTATAGGATATTTAAAATAAAACACTTTGCACTGTGTATACAATATTTTGCTGCCTCTGAGGTTTCTGTTCTGTCCTTTTGTAATAAACCTTGCAAGTCTATCGTGTATATAAATGCAACTGTTATTCTTACTAAAAAAAAATCTTACCCTAAAGAGTCTTCAGAATCTGTTTTATTCAGAAACTTTATAGGCCTATACCTTCACATTATATATGTGTGTGTATATAGATACATGACACTTGGTGTCATGTATATACATGTATATATACATGTATATACATGACACTTGGAACTATAATATAAGAAGCTGTATATAAAGAAGTACAACAGATAAAAGTCTTACCCTAGAACGACGAAAATAAAGGCAAAACTGACCAAAACATGGACCTTGGAGACGTTACGCAGCATATCCACTCTCTGGCTAATTAATTAATTAATATTGTCTGTTCAAACTGTATCTGTAACTGCTGCAAAAAAAGAGTCCAAATTAAACTAAGAGCATTGGTTTTGGAAGCTTATTTCCAATGTAATCCAGGCAGCGCATTGAGTACTTTTAACGAACAGGTGGAGTTTCTTGTAGTGCAAGAAGTACAATTATACAGGGTATATAAGCAGAGAGGGAGGGGGGAGGGAGCTGAAGGTTGGATTGACGTCATCACCGTCAGGTAGCTGCATGAAAGGCAGCTGAAGTCACTGAAGCTGCGAGGGGAATAATGTGCGCAATCCTAACCACGCAGATATTCTGCAGCTTGTCAGAGCACCCGCTTCTTTAAGTTGGTGTTCAGGGAACCGACGATCACACTCAGCTCAACAAAGTGTGAGACCAAGAGAAGATATCAGAGATGTAATTTATATTTTTAAAAGTTTCACAGTTGCACAACAGTACAGGCACACACGTGAGCGAAATTTGCATCAAAACCACAGCCCATTCTTATGATTAACCTTCTGGTCGCAGCGTACTGTCACATTTCTTTACCAACGTTAATATTCTTAATAATATGATTCAATAGCGTTTAAAATGATTATATAATGTTCTTTTAAGTGTGACTATATAACATTATGTAACATTTCAGATTAAAAAATAGCAAGCAGGTAAAACTTTATCTAAATTTCGTTCCAGGTGGAATTACAATGCTGAGAGCAGGAGTTGTGGATATAAGATAACACACTAGACATAAGTGAACACAATTAAAACGGACACATAGGCCTACAAAATACATAGTAAAAAAAAGTTTATTATTGAATTAAATAACCCGTATATATGAATGGCATGCAAATCAAAACAAGTAGGAATGGAATAAACTGCTGTATAAAATAATTAATAATTAAAAACAAACGGCTTGCCAGTAAAAAAATAAAAGACACGCGAGATAAAACCAATACAATAGGTTAAGATAAAAAAATAATAAATAAAAATAAAAATAAACCAGAGTAGTGAAAGGCGGAGGTTTATTTTGAATGACAATAGCGTTGGGAAATACCAATCATGATTTGATGAGACGTTTCTAAGCTCAATTTAATTTGGAAGTTTCAGTCGAGGCCCCTGGAATAACCAGACGGTCTGGTCTACATGAAGGAAGGCGTCGGATCATACATATTTACAGTCTCAAAGGAACTCGTTAAACTATGTGTTAACACCCTTAAGTTAAACTGTAGCTCCAGAGAAAAGAGGAGAACAAACACATGGAACACTCTCAGTAAGCAGAGATCGGAGAGAGTGTCAGGGACGGTCCAGCACCTGCTGATTGTATCATACTAAACTCATAATAATAATAAAGTAAAACAGGGAGGGCAGGGAGCGGTTAACTCATCCCACTGGTTCACCTCTTTCATTTATTTGTGTAAGCGCCACCTCACTGGTTTCGTCTGCTCTTTATCAGATAACAAAATGACTGGGCCGTGACACCTGGCTGATCACAGTGTGCTCCAGGCAAAAACCCACACTCAACACAGCAACCCCCCCCCCAACTTCTTTAACGCTGTGCCACTCATAGGGGCGAAAAGCATATCACAAACAAGGGCATCCTGGAAAACACGGTGCTTATAATTAAAAAAAAAAAGCCTTAGCTGAACATAAAAGTGACATTATAACAGTAAACACCAGCATATCACCCAGTCCGTTGCAATATATTCAGAATCAGAAATACTTTATTGATCCCCGGGGGGAAATGTGTTCGTTACAGTTCTACTGTATAGTTCTACTCACACAACGTTAAAGAAATAGTACTTACATACAATATCTAACACATTATATAGAATAGAAATAGGTATTTAAATATAGTGAAAATAAAAATGGAAATAGAAATATAATAAGAGCCTAAGAGATATAATAAAATAATAAGAGCCTTTATACAAATTAAATGTAAATCTAAACATAAATGCAAACATATTCCACCGTATTCCTGGAAGAAATTAAATAAATAATAAGGAGTTTTAAGATTGTGGTGTTGCAAAAGTTATAGATAATTACAAAGAATGACATAATAATCAAGTGAATTGCACGTTGATCCGGGTGTTGCACATTAATCGACTTATTGCACATCATCATCTTGACACTCTCAGAGAGGAGTTAAAGAGTTTGATAAATAAACTAAATAATTTTATGATGAGATTTAATTAATGAGAATTGCCAATAACACTAACATTCACGCTAGTGTTGAAACAATGCCGTTGTGGTAAATAATCAGAATCAGAATCACTTTATAGGCCAGGTATGTGCACACACAAGGAATTTGACTCCGGTTTTACCTTGATCTCATGTACAAACACAGACTAACATTTAGCATCAATAAACAGAACAAGTTCAATCAAACAGACTTTCTGAAATAAAATGAAACAATGCATGAACGTTTGCTGCAAATATTGTGCTGTCCCATATCAAGAGGCTGTGTTTACATCTTTTCAATGAAAAAAAAATCAACAAAATATGTTATTTGTTAATATACAAAGCCAAACATACAACTGTAACAAAATTGTTCTTAGTGTGTTTCTTGAGCTCCGATGTCTCCCTGCCTCCATTCTCTGTATTACGCAAGCAGGTGAAGGTTTTTTCAGGACTCCCTCAACCGTCAGGATTGTTAACACGAGTGGAGCTGCTGGCGCAGTTGGCTGTGGAAGCTCATTGCTGACTGTTTTAAATAGACAATTAAATTGCTTGTTGGCCCGAGGCAGATGATAGCTGTTTTATGGCACACACGACATGCTGCAACATGAAACAGCAGGATAAGCAGACAGCTTCAAACATCGCCATTAAAGTGCTGACAAGCTACCAGGACCCGGATCTCTGTGTGGGGCTGTGCATGTTTGTCACTGTGATGGGTTGTGTATTTGAGCATGTGTTCTATTATTTATATTCATAAATATCGAAACAGCACACTTGAACCGTAAAGTGTGACTAAAGGCAGGCAATGGTCAAAATGAGGAAAAGCAGTCAAACAGGCAAGGGGTTAGGTGGAGAATCATCCCCCCGAGGGTCAGCGGGGCAATAGGTCAGACAGGCAAGAACAAATGCTGGAAAGTGCAGGTGCAAAGTAATGGAAATGGAAACATGGTGAGCAGGTATGCCGGGAAGTTCAAGTTCTGCAGGAGATAACATCTCAGATGATAATCATAACATAACACGGGCTTATACATAGGCCTACATACCTCACTGTTTTGATTTGTCCTGATTAGGCTGAGTAAGTTTGATGTTGTGCTAATTGTCGTTATGTGCAGCAGCGTGAATGTTTGTGTGGAGTCAAATGTACAACTCATAGTTCAGTTTTAGTTCACAGTTATGAAAAGAAAAATGGTATTGGTGTTCATGGTTTTTCTGAATGAAATATGCTCTGTTAAACTACAACTTTTGTAAAGTTTACATGAATATGTGAATTGTGAATATGGTAAACAAAGCTGGTATTCATTTTTTTTTTTTTACACTTCTCTTATTTTGTTTTTTGTTATTGAAATACCATCAATGTTTGATAAATATGTGCAGGTTCTTCTTCCTGGACTGTCACCAGTACAAACAGCTATAATAGGCATATTGTGAAATATTTTGCAGAGATAACTTACTCTAAACTCTGTCTGTCCACTCGCCTGCTTGTGTCATTGTTTCCAAAACAGGCAGCCTAGGTGGTTTTATTGAATAACTCAATTAATCAATGCATCTTTAAGTTATCCTTTAGTAACCTGGCAACAAGAGAACATGGCTAGGTACCATGAGTAAAAAAAAAACACATAGCCTACTTTTGTAATTGTAAAAGCTGATATGTAAAACATGCAGAACAGGACACAGTTTGCCACCTTCTGGGTAGCTATTATTGTTACTGTTTTGATGTTGATTTGCAATGTGTTTTAAAGGGCAGTGAGATTTCTGTCATGGTGAGTTTATCAGGTAAAAATCTGGGAAAATTAAATATTTTAAACTTTGTTTAGTTGCGCATTCCTCAGTATTTCTGAAACACACTCACACAACACTTTTACTTTTTACCATAACTGTTCTCACAAGAGGCATAGTAGAATTCAATGTCTAATAATAATAATAATAATAATAATAATATAAATATTTTATAATATCAATCACACCTTGTCTTTTAGTGCTACTATAGGGTGTAGAATGTAGCATCTTCATGTAATTCATGTTTTTGCTTGTTCTGTCCTGTTGTGGCTTATCTATTCTATGTCTGGCTGGTGAGAAAAGAGAAGAGATTGGTCAGACAGGAATTTTAATATTGGAAAAAAATATTTGTCCAGAAATTATTATAGCTATTGAAATATATTTACAGATGGGTCAAAACACATTATAATGAAAACGATATATCACGCCTACATGATATCAGGTTATCAGTAAACAGAAATGACAGCAATAATCATCAGTCTTCAGTGGGTAGGGGAGGTCAAACCAGTCAAAGTAGTCATATCAGAATCAAACTCAGAATCAGAAATACTTTAATAATCCCAGGGGGAAATTACTTATATATATGTTCAGATTCAGCAGTTGTACCTTATTCAGTCAGGACAAATAGTCAGAAATGATTTAACATTGGAAAAATACATGATTTTATTGAACCTACAACAGCTATGTATAGATGTTCACTTTTGTTGGATAGCAGGAACAGGGGGAAATGAGGTTGCTGACAAACTAACTACAAGTTCATCAAACAAGAATGGTCTGAGGCAGAATCAATAATTCAGCAGGGAAGAGTGGAAACTTGGCAAAATATATGGAATAATTATCAAGGGTAGGGAGTGGACTATTATAATATTAAAAAATCAGTTAGAGTAAGAAGCAGGAAAAGTAAAAGTAGAA